ATCTTAAGCAGCTTAGAGGATGCAAACAAAGTCGGAAGAGATTGTTAGAAGATTTTGTGCTCTTCATTCTGTGTGGTAATCTCCGAGAATCGTGGATTTGATCTTCTTAATCGTACGATCAGTTTCTGGTTTGGTGTTTCTGCTTTTTCATCTTCTTCGTTGCTGCGTGCGTGTTCTCTGATCTTGTCGTCATTTTGTTTCCTCTTCTGCGTTTTTTTCTGGAATTCTGTTTCCTGAATTTCAGTTTCGTAGGAACATGACTTCAGTGCTGTCCGACTCGTATGATACACATCTGGGTTTTTTTTTCTTCTGGAAATTCAGGTTAATCTTCGGTTACATTTCGCGCTATAACCGTCGCTTCCCCGTGTGACCATGATATATTTCTTGTTGCGTTTTCCTCGGCTTCTGTGTGTGATCGTGTGATTTCCCGACATGAATCTTGTTGTTTTCTCGGTATTAGTGCGTAAGAACGGTATCTTTGCTGATCTGAATTTCTTCAGTGACTGACAATTGCTCGACATGTTTCTGACCAGGTTATACCACAAACAGCTTGCTTTGGAGAGCGAGTTTTTTTTTCTCGATTTTGGCTTTAGCCGACCAGGTGGTTTTCCCTTTTTTTCGCGTGCATATGGTACTATTATTCAGATTAGCTTAATCTTTGCTCTTTTTGGTCAGCCATTGTCAAGGAGCACACGGACGGAGCAACTTCTTGTACCGGCACTGATCCATCTAGAAGACCACTCTGTTTATACACCCTCTGGTTCTTGAGTGATCCAATTCCTATATTTGGTGGCGTGTTTCCAATTCTCGTTTTTTTGGCTGGAACCATGACTGCTGTATCAAATGGGACTTCGAAACGCAAGTATTCTTGGTGGTGGGATAGCCACATACGCCCCAAGAATTCTAAATGGCTTCAGGAGAATCTCACAGGTATTTGATCGGTGCGGTATATAGTTCAATATTTGAGTGTTTCAGCTTATTTGCTTATAAGTTTTTTCTCTGAGTTGGCAGATATGGATAGCAAAGTCAAACAAATGATCAAGCTCATTGAAGAAGATGCGGATTCCTTTGCCAGACGGGCGGAAATGTACTATAAGAAACGGCCTGAACTTATGAAGTTGGTTGAAGAGTTTTATCGAGCATATCGTGCATTAGCTGAAAGATATGATCATGCCACAGGGGTAATCCGTCATGCTCATAATACAATGGCAGAAGTGTTCCCAAACCAAATTCCTTTGATGTTTGGTGATGAGTCACCTGCCGGTGCTTCTGCCAATGAGGCTCATCCACGAACACCGGAGATGACACCCCCTATCCGTGCTCCGGTTGACCCAGATGTGTTACAAAAAGATGCTTTTGGGGTCTCTTCATCTCATGTGCATTCTGTGAAAAGGAATGCAACCTTCACAGAAAAACCTCAGTTTGAGAGTATCATAAAGGGTTTGAAACAGCTTAACGACTTGGCTGAGTCTGAGACTGGAAGGGCAAGGAAAGGACTGAATTTCAGCGATGCAGATGAGAAAGGAAGAAATGGTCACAGCGACGAAATCCATGATCTTAAGGCACAAATTCTTTCAGAATCTGAACGATATAGCAAAGCCGAGGCTGAAGTTTTGGCCTTAAAAGATGCTCTTTCCAAAGTGCAGGTTGAAAAGGAAGCCACCTTAACTCGATACAAGTTGAATTTGGAGAGGCTGACTAATCTGGAGTTGGAAATATCTGGTGCACAAGAGGATTCCAGGGGGCTTAATGAACGAGCCACAAAAGCTGAGGCTGAGGTCCAGACACTCAAGGATACCATTAGCAAATTAGAGTCTGAAAAGGACTCCAGCTTTCTTCAGTATCAGCAATGCCTGCAAAAGATAGCTGATTTAGAGGTCGGCATCTCTCAAGCACAGAAGGATTCTCAAGAAATAAGTGAGAGAGCCAGCAAAGCTGAAGCTGAAACACAAACCTTGAAGCAAAGGCTTTCCAGAGCTGAAACCGACAAGGAAGCTGCTCTTGTTCAACACCGGCAATGTTTGGAAACCATATCTAATCTGGAAGAGAGACTCCTGAAGGCAGAGGGAGTTGCAAGGATTATCAATGAGCGGGCAGAGAAGACTGAAGCAGAAGTCGAAAACTTAAAGCAGACAATTTCCAAATTAATCAGAGACAATGAAGCTTCTGAACTTCAGTACCAACAGTGCCTGGAGACGATTGCTGATCTGAAGCTCAAACTATTCAATGCTCAGGAAGAAACCCAAAGGCTTAGCTGTCAGGTAGAGGATGGTGTTGCAAAATTAAAAATTGCTGAAGAAAAATGTTCTGTGCTGGAGAGATCAAATCAGACTCTGCACTCGGAGCTGGACACTCTCTTGGAGAAAATGGGGAACCAAAATCAGGAGCTCACAGAGAAACAGAAAGAGCTGGGAAGATTGTGGACTTGTGTGCAAGAAGAGCGTTTGCGTTTCCTGGAGACCGAGACAGCTTTTCAAACCCTGCAGCAATTGCACTCTCAGTCTCAAGAGGAGCTAAAAACTTTGGGTTTGGAACTCCAAATTAGGTACCAAATTTTGAAAGACATGGAAACCCGCAACAATGATTTACAGGAGGAAGTTCAGAAGGCCAGAGAAGAGAACAAGGGCCTTAATGAACTCAATCTGTCTTCAGCTGCATCAATCAAAAGTTTGCAAGAGGAGGTCTCAGGCTTAAGGAAGACAGTACAGAAACTTGAAGCTGAAGTTGAACTTAGAGTGGACCAGAGAAATGCTCTGCAGCAAGAAATATATTGTCTTAAAGAGGAATTAAGCCAGATAGGGAAGAATCATCAGTCTATGCTGGAGCAGGTAGAGCTGGTTGGTTTAGATCCAGACTGTTTTGGGTCATCTGTCAAGGAGTTGCAGGACGAAAACTCGAAGCTAAAAGAATTCAACGAGAGAGAAAACAAAGAAAAGATGGCTCTTCTAGAGAAATTGAAAATGATGGAAATGCTTGTGCAGAAAAACCTTTTGCTTGAGAATTCTATATCAGATTTGAACTCTGAGTTGGAAGCAATCAGAGGAAAGCTGCAGACATTGGAAGAAGCTTGTAAATTGCTCTCAGAAGATAAATCAGGTCTCATTGCTGAGAATGACACGCTAATGTCTCGGCTGCAGACTGCTACAGAGAACAGTGAGAAACTCTCTGAGAAAAACAACTTACTGGAGAGTTCTCTTTATGATGCCAATGCAGAACTTGAAGACCTTAGGTTAAAGTTGAAGAGCCTGGAAGATTTGTGCCGTTCACTAAATAATGACAAGTCCAGTTTGACTTCTCAAAGAGAGAGCTTAATTTCTCAGATGGATTTAATGAGAAAAACCCTGGAAGATCTGGAGAAAGGACAAGGAGAGCTGAAAACGGAGGTTTCGGCATTAGAGGCGGAGAGAGAATCCTCACTTCAGAAAATTGAAGAGTTGGCAGTGTCCTTGGTTGCCAAGGATCGGGAATATGCTAGTTTTGTGCAATTGAGTGAGGCTCGGTTGGGCGACATGGAATCAAAGATCCATCTTCTTCAAGATGAAAACGAATGCAGGGAGAGAGAATATCAAATGGAACTAGACCGGGGTGTTGATGCTCAAATCCGGATTTATGTTATGCAGAAATGCTTACAAGACTTATTTGAGAAGACCTCCTGTCTGATGGTTGAGAATAAGAACATCAAAGAAGAATCTAAATTGTCAGAGAAGCGAGTCTCTGAACTGGAACAGGAGAATACAGGGAAAGGAGTACGGATTGAATCCTTGACTGGCCGGATTAAAGTGTTGAGAATGGGACTTCACCAAGTACTGAAGAGGCTTGAAATAACTCCAGATATTGAGTCAGAGGATGAGAATTGGCAAGACCAGAAAAATATGCATGATATACTGAGCAAACTTGATGAGATGCAAAATATGCTTTTGGAGATTCAGAACGAAAACCAGCTCTCAGCCGTTGAGAACTTTATCCTTGTTTCACTGCTCCAGCAACTTAAATTAGAAGCAGTTGGTATTGCAAAGGAGAAGAATATTCTTGGGGAAGAACTTGAATTTCAGCATGAGCAGCTCTCGTCTTCTCAAGAGGAGAACAAGAAGCTTATCTGCATGAATGAAGAATTGACCTCGAAAGTAAAACATGGAGTTAGCAGAGAGGAAGCTTTGGACATGAAAATAGAGGATTTGAATAGGCAAGTGTTGGGTTTGCGAGATGCATACACCGTTTTGCTGGAAGACAATTACAAGACTTTGGACGAGAAAAGATCCTTGACGAAGTCAACTGTGCAGTTGGAGGAGGAGAAATGTAAACTAGAAGAGGATATTGGCTTTCTTCTTGCTGAAAATATTTACCAGAGCAATCTCATTCTTCTTCTGGAGGATGTCATCTCGGCAAAGCTTTCAGAAGTTAATATACTAAGCGAGGATCTGGGCAGACTCAATTCTATTAAGGATAAGCTTGAGAAAAAGGTAAGGGACGCATTAACTGAGAATTTGGAGCTTCACGGATTGCTAGAAAAATCAGAAGGCGAGTTACTTTCGGTCCGATCAGCCAATGATCTGTTAAGTCATGAAATTGCCAGTACGAAGGATCAGTTGTGTCAAAAGGAGAATGAGCTTCTAGAAGCAATGCTGTTGATCACCGTCGTGCAAAATGAAAAAGCCGAACTATCTCAGGTGTTGGAGAATTTGGAATGTGAATACAAAGAAACTAAAGCAATACAAGAAGACCAAGAGAAACAGGTTCTGACACTTCGTGGAGACTGTGATGGGCAGATTAAGGAGACCGAACGTGCAAATGCAGTGAACATGAAATTGGGGGCCGAATTGCAGAACCTACTCGAGGAACTTGTAAAAATCAAAATGGAGAAAGAGAAGCTGAGCCATGATCTGCTTAAAGAACGAAACGAGGCTGAATTGTGGAAATCTCAGGCTGAGGCATGCTTTGGCAATATGCAGATCTCTGTTTTCCACGAAGCATTGCTCAAAGGGATGACCCATGAGTTGGCTGAAGCTTATGAGAACCTTGAAAGTAGAAGTGTATTGAAAGATGTGGAGATTGATCAGCTAAAGGAAAGAGTAAGCAGCTTAGAGGATGCAAACAAAGGACAGCAAGCCCATATGGCAAAATATGCTCAAGCTGCTGTTTTGTTGGAGGAAAGCATAAAATCTCTGGAGAACCGTTTTGCCAAGCATCGTGAATACAAGGATGAAATAATCAAGGTACTTTATCTTATTCACACTTATATATCCTCAAATTTATCTTTTGAAATCGTATCTTTTTAGTTCTTTTTGTCAAGATTAGCCGACCAGACATATTGCCAGTTGCTGTTGGATCATGTTGATTATCTATATCATTGCTACGTTGTGATTTTCTTCATCGGTATATGCCCCTCTTAGCAGGACGCAGAAGAAGACAGGTTCTCAGAGTTGCATGATATGCATTTGAGGATCAAAGCCATTGAGGAGGCAGTGATAGAGAAGGAAAAGCTTGTGATGCTCGAAAACTCGAATGCATACTCCAAGCTGGAGGCCGCAATGAAACAAATCGAAGAACTACGATCCAATTCCATAAGAAGCAGGAAGAAACAAGAGGGAGAAGGTCGATCGCAGAAGCAGATCCGGCAAGCCTCTCCAGAGGAAATCGAGGAGGTGATAACAAAAGATATAATGTTGGATCAAGTGTCTGATTGCTCATCTTATGGGAGAAGCAGGAAAGGCACTCTCGAGGTTAACGATCAGAAGATTGAGCGGTGGGAAATAAATGGACAAGGTAATAGTTTAGACCTGAAACTGGAAAAGCATGACAACACGGTTCCGGTTAAGGAAAAAGGTAAATCCTTGTCCGAGGAGTCATTGGTCGTCGACAAATTGGAGGTCTCAGATAAATTCTCAGACCCGAACCAAGACATACACAAGAGGAAAGTTCTGGAAAGACTCGACTCCGATTTACAGAAGCTGGCAAACCTTCAGATCACTCTTCAAGATTTGAGAAGTAAAGTGGAGACCGACGAGGAACAGGGCAAGAAGGGAAAAGGAGACGAGTACGAGACCATCAAAGGACAGCTCGAAGAAGCAGACGAAACGATAAGGAAACTCTTCAACGTGAACCGAAAGCTAATGACCAAAGTCGAGGCCGGATTCACACCACAAGATGGCAGCAGACCAACGGAACTGGACGGAGCAGAGAGGAGGAGGAGAGTATGGGAACAAGCGAGAAGAGGGTCGGAGAAAATCGGAAGGGTGCAGATGGAGATACGGAGAATAAGGTTTCTGCTGATGAAACTGGAAGGGGAAGCAGAAAACAGGGGAAGATCGAAGATGGCGGACGCTAGCCAGACGAGAGTTCTGCTACGAGATTACATCTATGGCGGAACGAGAAGCAGACAGATGAAAAAGAAGACGAAGAAGAAGAGATCTGCGTTTTGTGCGTGTGTTCAGCCTCAGTCTCCATGACCCTTGGACCGTTTCTTGCCAATATGTAAGCTTTATTCATTAGCGAGCTATAGACTTTAGTATCTGTTTCAGAGCTCTTTTTTTTATTTGGGGCCATTGTAGAGAATGTCCTTTGGGTTACTAAGTGCGAAGCGAATCTTAAAAACTTCGTACAAACCCACCAAGGACGTTTGCGTTTGCGTTTGCATTTGAAACGCTGGTGCAGCGTTTGCTTCAATAACAGAACATTCAGGATAGTGTTTTGCATTAGGGAATATTACTCAAATAACCCACTTGGGTCGCAGCAATTTCAGTGTACACCACCGAAAAAAAAAAAAAAATTTTGCGACCTTGTATATTAGTTATATATTAGTCGTAATAAGGTCGCAAAATTTTTTTTTTTTCTGGGTGGTGTACCCTGAAATTGCTGCGACCCAAGTGGGTTATTAGGGTTAAAACCCCTTTGCATTATGCATAGCGCTTAAACATTTATTCTGCGATTGATACTGGGAAGCGCATGTGTGTACTTATAGTGGAAGCTTTTCCGCGTTTAGACCACTGCGTTTGAGTCTATAGTCTTTAAAAAAAATCCAAAAAAAAAATCTGTATGTGTTATAAATGAATAGTGAAGCTACGGTACTGTTCACGCAGCCGGACACTGTTCACGCAGCCGTTACTGTTCACGCCGCCATACGGTTACTGTTTAGCCGCCATACGGTTACTGTTCATAAATACGTATACGTGAATAGTAACTTCGGATTTTCTATAAATAGCTCATTTCCCTCCTTCATTTGTACACAATTCCAAGAGAACAAAATTATTGAAATCTTGTTCCCGGGTCTCTCAAACGATCGATTTCGGTTTCTAGTTAACGATCTGATTCTCGGGTCTTCTATATTTCTTCGTTTTTCACAACACGTTATCAGCACGAACGCTCTTCTACGACAAAGGTAATATTATATATTCGCTCTAATGATATATACACATATTAATTGATGCTTGAGTGGAATTAACCCCAAGCTATATATAAATATCAGTTAATTATTGTTTAAATTAATGGACGGCTAAGCCGCCTTTAATTATTTATTACTATTGGACGGCTGAGCCGCCTTAATTATTTATTACTGTTGGACGGCTGAGCCGCCTTAATTATTTATTACTATTGGACGGCTGAGCCGCCTTAATTATTTATTTGTTACTATTGGACGGCTGAGCCGCCTTAATTATTTATTTGTTACTGTTGGACGGCTGAGCCGCCTTAATTATTAATATGAAATATTGTGTTATAGTTAATTATATATATAGCATGACCAATTAATTTTACAAAATAGTTTAACAATTCGTTTTGATAAATTATTTCATATAGTTTCATGATATAAATTGTTAAAATCATTTATAAAATTTAAATATAAAAAAAAACTCCAACGGCTACAATTTAAAAAAAAAGAAAAAAAAAAGAGAAAAAAAATCAAATTTTGGCTCCTCCCCAACGGCTAGGAATAGTGAATTTTACCCTATAAATACACTCCACCATTCACTCAAAAACTCACACCAAAATCATCTTATTCTCTCTTCTTCTCACCGAAAAAAAAAAAAACTCTCAAAATGATCTGTTCACGCCGCCATACGGTTACTGTTTAGCCGCCATACGGTTACTGTTCATAAATACGTATACGTGAACAGTAACTTCGGATTTTCTATAAATAGTTCATTTCCCTCCTTCATTTGTACATAATTCCAAGAAAAGAAAATTATTGAAATCTTGTTCCTGGGTCTCTCAAACGATCGATTTCGGTTTCTAGTTAACGATATGATTCTCGGGTCTTCTATATTTCTTCGTTTTTCATAACACGTTATCAGCACGAACGCTCTTCTACGACAAAATCATAATGGCAAAAATGGCTAATATCGAGTTCGAGGTCCTCGACATATCGGGGAAAAATTATCTATCGTGGCAATTGGATGCTGATTTGCACTTGGAATCAAAAGGTCTTGGTGCCACAATTAAAGAGAAAAGTGCATCAACTGAAAATAAAGCAAAAGCACTAATATTATGCAGGATCTTTGGGAAAAATTAAAAGACCGTTTTGATCATCAAAAAACGGTAATCCTCCCCAAGGCAAAATATGAGTGGATTCATCTCAGATTTCAAGATTTCAAAACTGTTAGTGAATATAACTCGGCGATGTACCGAATCACATCAGTTTTGAAATTATGTGGTGAAACAGTTAGCGAAAATGAGATGTTGGAAAAAACCTTTTCAACTATGCACGCCTCGAACATTATCCTCCAACAACAGTATCGAGAAAAGGGGTATACAAAATACTCAGAGTTTCTCTCATGTCTTCTATTGGCCGAGCAGAATAATGAATTACTGATGAAAAATCATGCATCTCGGCCGACAGGTTCTGTACCATTTCCTGAAGTAAATGTTACAGAAAATATATCATTCCCTGGAGAGAATGTTATATTTTATAATAACCGAGGACGTGGTTATTTTCGAGGTAGAGGCCGAGGTCGAGGTCGAGGCCGAGGACGAGGTCGTGGCGTTAGCCGAAGTTGGAATAGAGGAGGTGGTCGAGGAATCTCATTCCAAAACCATAACAATAATAGAGGGGGAACACATGATCATCCAATCAAACGGATGAAAGAAAGCACATGTCACCGATGTGGAATGACAGGACATTGGTCACGTACTTGTCGCACGGCTAAACACTTGGTGGACCTTTACCAAAAATCGATTAAAGAAGCGAAAGGGAAAGGTGTCGAGACAAATCATGTCATAAACAATTCGGATGATGATGCCGGTGGTGCTAAAGATTTTACACACATGGACCTCGCTGATGGTTTTGCGCATCCTGAAGATGGCGTTGATTATGAATAAAAGCCATATATATAGTTGTATCGTTTATATATGTAATCAACCTCGTAATAATCCATATATACATAAATAATGCGTCTACATTTTGTAAAATAATTATGTATCCGTGTCATCATTTCTGTTAGTCATAATGTTATAATATATTTTCTAATGTTTACTATGTTGTTTTGTTCTTCAATAGGAACCGCTTTAGTACCCTTTTTGTATAATTAGATTGATGTAGAAAAATTCCCGTATTCAAATGCTCTATTTGTAATCCAAGACAAAACTTGGTTTGTCCGAGATCTTTCATCTCAAATTCTCCTTTTAAATAGGTGGATGCATCCTGAATTTCACGGGGAGTTCCAATGATATTTAAATCATCAACATAGACAGCAATAATCACAAATCCAGACATCGTCCTTTTTATAAACACACATGGTGAAATAGGATTATTTGTATATCCATTTTTCACTAAATGTTCACTCAGACGTTTATACCACATACGTCCTGATTGTTTTAGCCCGTACAATGATCGTTGTAACTTGACAGCGCATAATTCTCGTGGTTTTGATTTCAATATTTCGGGCATTTTAAATCCTTCAGGGATTTTCATATAAATGTTTGTGTCAAGTGACCCATATAAATAAGCAGTAACAACATCCATGAGACGCATTTCTAAGTTCTTTGAAACTGCAAGGTTAATTAGGTATCGAAATGTAATCGCATCCATAACAGGAGAATAAGTTTCTTCATAATCAACTCCTGGTCTCTGTGAGAAACCTTGTGCGACAAGACGAGCTTTATATCTAGCAATTTCATTGTGCTCATTTCTTTTGCGTACAAATACCCATTTACATCCAACAGGAGTAACCTCTTTCGGTTTAATAATGACGTGTCCGAATACATTTCGCTTATTCAACGAATCCAATTCAGTCTGTATTGCGTCTCTCCATTTAATCCAATCTTGTCTCTTTTGACATTCTGAAATGGATCTTGGTTCTGGATCCTCATTTTCATCAATTTCCTTTGATACATTATAAGAGAATATATCATCAATCTCTTTGATTTCTTTTCGACTCCATAATGTACCATTACTGATATAATTAATTGAGATCTCATGATTTTCATTGTCTGTATTTATACCATCATCATAAGGTACTTCATTTCATGGTCACCCATTGAAAAACCAGAAGATTTTTCAATCAGATGAGTTTTCTTGTGATGCATGTTCTAGAGGAAAATTAATAATCAGACCATCACAAGCTAAAATCGGGCATGAATTACCATCATTTCTAGAAAGGATTCATGGTGATATTTGTGGACCTATTCATCCACCATGCGGACCATTTCGATATTTTATGGTATTAATTGATGCTTCAAGCAGATGGTCGCATGTATGTCTTTTATCATCACGTAATCTGGCATTTGCCCGATTTTTAGCCCAAATAATTAAATTAAGGGCTCAGTTCTCGGAATACTCAATCAAGAAAGTGAGGCTTGATAATGCTGGAGAATTTACATCACAAGCATTTAATGATTACTGTGTAGCAATGGGTATTGATGTTGAACACCCAGTTGCACACGTTCATACACAGAATGGATTGGCAGAGTCATTAATCAAACGACTCCAGCTTATTGCTAGACCATTGATAATGAAAACGAAACTTCCCATTTCTGTGTGGGGTCATGCCATTTTGCATGCTGCAACATTGATTCGTATTAGACCAAGTGCATACCACAAGTATTCTCCATTGCAATTAGCATTTGGTCAAGAACCTAATATATCGTATCTCAGAATATTCGGATGCGCAGTATATGTACCGATTTCTCCACCACAGCGTACAAAAATGGGACCACAAAGAAGGCTTGGAATATATGTTGGGTATGACTCACCATCCATTATACGATACCTTGAGCCAAAAACTGGAGATATTTTTACGGCTCGTTTTGCTGATTGTCAATTTAATGAGAATGAATTCCCACCATTAGGGGGAGAAAATGATAGAATGGCGGGAAATAAAAATGATCTTAATTGGTGTACACCATCATTGTCACATCTTGATCCCCCAGCAAAACAACGAGAACTGGAAGTTCAAAGGATCATACATTTACAAAACATTGCAAATCAGTTACCAGATGCTTTTGCAGATACAACTAAGGTAACAAGATCATATATAGATGCTGCGAATGTCCCAGCTCGAATCGAAATTCCGAAAGAACAAATGAAAGAAAATGTAATAAACGATTCCAAAGCACGCCTGAAGCGTGGACGACCTATTGGTTCTAAGGATAAAAATCCCCGAAAGAGCAAAGGGACCAAGAAAAATGAAATGCTCGATTCGGAGGAACGCGTTCCAAATCAAAGAAATGAAGTACCTTATGATGATGGTATAAATACAGAATCGCATCCATAACAGGAGAATAAGTTTCTTCATAATCAACTCCTGGTCTCTGTGAGAAACCTTGTGCGACAAGGCGAGCTTTATATCTAGCAATTTCATTGTGCTCATTTCTTTTGCGTACAAATACCCATTTACATCCAACAGGAGTAACCTCTTTCGGTTTAATAATGACGTGTCCGAATACATTTCGCTTATTCAACGAATCCAATTCAGTCTGTATTGCGTCTCTCCATTTAATCCAATCTGGTCTCTTTTGACACTCTGAAATGGATCTTGGTTCTGGATCCTCATTTTCATCAATTTCCTTTGATACATTATAAGAGAATATATCATCAATCTCTTTGATTTCTTTTCGACTCCATAATGTACCATTACTGATATAATTAATTGAGATCTCATGATTTTCATTGTCTGTATTTATACCATCATCATAAGGTACTTCATTTCTTTGATTTGGAACGCGTTCCTCCGAATCGAGCATTTCATTTTTCTTGGGCCCTTTGCTCTTTCGGGGATTTTTATCCTTAGAACCAATAGGTCGTCCACGCTTCAGGCGTGCTTTAGAATCGTTTATTACATTTTCTTTCATTTGTTCTTTCGGAATTTCGATTCGAGCTGGGACATTCGCAGCATCTATATATGATCTTGTTACCTTAGTTGTATCTGCAAAAGCATCTGGTAACTGATTTGCAATGTTTTGTAAATGTATGATCCTTTGAACTTCCAGTTCTCGTTGTTTTGCCGGGGGATCAAGATGTGACAATGATGGTGTACACCAATTAAGATCATTTTTAGTTCCCGCCATTCTATCATTTTCTCCCCCTAATGGTGGGAATTCATTCTCATTAAATTGACAATCAGCAAAACGAGCCGTAAAAATATCTCCAGTTTTTGGCTCAAGGTATCGTATAATGGATGGTGAGTCATACCCAACATATATTCCAAGCCTTCTTTGTGGTCCCATTTTTGTACGCTGTGGTGGGGAAATCGGTACATATACTGCGCATCCGAATATTCTGAGATGCGATATATTAGGTTCTTGACCAAATGCTAATTGCAATGGAGAATACTTGTGGTATGCACTTGGTCTAATACGAATCAATGTTGCAGCATGCAAAATGGCATGACCCCACACAGAAATGGGAAGTTTCGTTTTCATTATCAATGGTCTAGCAATAAGCTGGAGTCGTTTGATTAATGACTCTGCCAATCCATTCTGTGTATGAACGTGTGCAACTGGGTGTTCAACATCAATACCCATTGCTACACAGTAATCATTAAATGCTTGTGATGTAAATTCTCCAGCATTATCAAGCCTCACTTTCTTGATTGAGTATTCCGAGAACTGAGCCCTTAATTTAATTATTTGGGCTAAAAATCGGGCAAATGCCAGATTACGTGATGATAAAAGACATACATGCGACCATCTGCTTGAAGCATCAATTAATACCATAAAATATCGAAATGGTCCGCATGGTGGATGAATAGGTCCACAAATATCACCATGAATCCTTTCTATGTTATAAATGAATAGTGAAGCTACGGTACTGTTCACGCAGCCGGACACTGTTCACGCAGCCGTTACTGTTCACGCCGCCATACGGTTACTGTTTAGCCGCCATACGGTTACTGTTCATAAATACGTATACGTGAATAGTAACTTCGGTTCACGCCGCCATACGGTTACTGTTTAGCCGCCATACGGTTACTGTTCATAAATACGTATACGTGAATAGTAACTTCGGATTTTCTATAAATAGCTCATTTCCCTCCTTCATTTGTACACAATTCCAAGAGAACAAAATTATTGAAATCTTGTTCCCGGGTCTCTCAAACGATCGATTTCGGTTTCTAGTTAACGATCTGATTCTCGGGTCTTCTATATTTCTTCGTTTTTCACAACAGCATGTATTTTCTCGCTAACTATAAATACTTCTCTGTAAAAATCGCATACAATTATAAGAAAATTATAAATTTAACCCAAAATTGGATGGTTCAACCGAAAAAAAAGAGAGTAAAACTCGTTTTTAATCCGAGTTCGAGTCCTCGTTTGGAAAGAGATATTCATTCATATGGACTTCTCCGATCCTCTAACAGATGTGGTTGAGACAAAGATTCGGTGACCTTCCAAATTATAAAAAAAATTACAAATTTATTGCGAGAAATTTAATTATTAATTTGACAGATATTACATTCTATCATTACATCCCAACAATTTTATAATAAAAAAAAAACGAGAGAGAGTGATTTATCTTCTTCCACATACGATACCAATGAAACAGAGATCGTGTTAATTAGACGTTGTTAATATCATGGGGCGTTGCAAAATTTTTATTGATGGAATTGGGTTTGGCGGTGTGAAGCATGTAACCACACGCCCCAACAGCTTCTCCCACCGTCACATAAATCCACTCTCTCCCTATCGCCTCCACGAACTTGGACTTGTCGAGTTTCTTCATCACTTCCGCACCAGGGTTTGAAATCCCCATCTGAAATATTAACGACCAAATTGTAAACTCACCCGAACTACAGGGACCAAAATGAAATTAAAAATGACCTTGAGCCCCCTTCGCTCCACAACTTTGTTGACCTCTTCAAGCATGCTCAGACCGCTTGTGTCTATGTTCCCAACAGCTGTTACCAAAATAAAGAAAACCATACATTGATATTTACACAATCTCTTATATATATATATATATACATATATAAGAAAAGAAAAAGAGGTTGAAAACAGATCGTCTTAATTACCACTCATGTCAAGTATAATGTATTGGAGGCTGATGTCTCCGGATGATTTCACTCTATCCTCTTCTTCCTCGATCCATCTCCCAATTCTAACAGCATACACACACACACACACGTATACAAACATATGTATATATACACACTTTGATGTCGAGTAACGTGAATTATAATGATCATGTGAAATTTGAACTTTTTCTCTTGTCACCTTTCCCTCAAGTAGCTAGCATTAGCAAAGTAGATCGGAGCATCGATTCGGAGAATGAGAAGGCCAGGCACGCTCCCTGCATTCGGGTACTGTTCCATGTTCCTATATATCTGCGTGTCCCTAATATTCCCGAGAACGCAAGTCTTCGGTCTCGCCACCGACAACATTAACCTCAGCAACGATATCCCTACCTGCGTACAAATATAAAGATTGATCAAAAACTTGGTTAGAACCACGAAATCTTGGACTACGTCAACCGTCAAGATCTCACAAACTCATGCTCGCTCCCAACGGGTAAAAGGGTGATTTATAGTTGGAGGTTACAGCGAGGAGGAGGCCGATCTCAACGCTGCCAAAGACAACTCCGAGGTAGGCGGAGATGCAGACGAGGAAATCGAATTTGTCGAGCTGCCAGAGATGGAGTGCAGCTTCGTAGTCGACGAGTCCGAGCATTGCCGATATTATGATGGAAGACAAAACTACCAAGGGAGTGTAGAAGAACAAGGGCGTCAGAAACATAAGCGTCACTGCCACCGCCACTGCCATCACTACGTTCGACATCGCTGTCTTGCATCCCGCATTGTAGTTCACCGCAGACCTCGAAAACGGCCCTTTTTCATCGAGATACAATTGTAATTAATATTGTATACTAATATTAGGATAATATTTTTGGAATAATGCATATGAAAAATGTCAATATTTTGGGGACCGTATGATATTATTACCGGTAGTGAGGTAGCAAGAGGTGAAGGAACCAGCAATGTTCATCATCCCAAAGGCAATCATCTCTTTGTTTCCATCAATGTGGTAATTCTTGAACATTGCAAAGCTTCTTCCCACTGCTATGCCTTCCTGTTATAATCATAATCTACAGCGTTATATATCATCTACATATATATGTATAACAAAATGTTGTATACTGCATAAGAAGAAGGAGAAGTGGATACGGCGAGAGCAATGACTCCGGTTATGATGCCTGTTTTTAGGGCTAACATCATGTAAGGCGGTGTGAAGAGGAGACCCGAGATGGATGGCGGGTTTATCCCCTTCTTCAGCTCTCCTATCTGCGAAAAAACGCACCCGAATTTCGTATAAAGCTGTATATATGTTTCAGAATATGGACTTACCGACGAGATTTTCGATAAAATTATGAACAATAAAGGGAGATGTATATATAGGGAGAGGCATATATATACAACTTGGACGCCGTGGCGCTGAGCATGTGTGAAGTAAACCAAAAGGCTTCCCATTATGACGGAGGCGAGAGGGGCCATTGCTGCTACCCAGAAGAACTTTGGTCTCTTCTTGCTCTGCATTTTTTTCACTCTTTTTATTAATTATAATCCCCAAATCATATAACCAATACCAATAAATGTGTATATATAGTGAGGGATTAATGGCTAACACTAGCATAAAGATATGGAAGTTAAAAACTCACAAAGAATTTGGTGGTAAGAAGGAAGAAGAGGAAGCAGCAGCCTAACACTCCACTCTCCCATCTCCACTGCACCATGTATAGACACATATGTATATATATATATATATTCAACTCTTCTTTATAATCATATATATATATGTGTGTATGTACTATGAAAGGTGAGAGAAAACGAAGATATATAATTACGAGATGGAACTGAGAGAAGATGGAGCGGAAGACAGAGACGAGGTCGGTGGAGCGAGTGAAGTGGACGAGTCCGAGGATGCCTTTGAGCTGCTGCATGCAAACCACCGTCGCAGCTCCTCCCATGAACCCTACTATCGACGCGTGCGATAACATGTCCACCACAAACCCTAACCTGCTCATCATCCCCTTTCAATATACACGTTAATTATATATATTGGGCAGTTGATTCATGTGCAAGGAACCAGAAGATCTAACACGTGAATATGTGCCATTATCTATCGTGTTCGAGATGACATATAATGTTTGCATACATATATATATATATATACGCCTTGTGTTGATGTTTGGAAATTAGTGTTTTTTTTTAATATTAAATATACATTCGTGAACTTAGGGATAATTATCCGTATCTGACAGATTCGCCACCCGACCGCGAAGAATGGATCTACGCAACACTATATGTTTGACGATTCCGATTTATATCTGATTTTCTTTCCTCTTTTCAAAATTTCAAATAATTATTATTATTAAATCTGAAAAAGAAAAAAGAAGAGACAAGCATATGCAAACGAGTTCAATGATCCGACCAGCAATCATCAACGAGGACAAACGGCATAAGACAAAAGCCTCCTGCGCATAACGTACAAAATGTTGCCATAACACTTTCCTTTTGAATACCAATTTTTAATATATTTATTACCCTTATACCATTATAAATTTTAATTACCCTACACATATATATACGCTACAAATATTTCAATATCTCTTCGTCACGAATATATATATATGAATCATGTCCTAACGGGTTCAATTTCTCACATTTTCTACATAAATAAAAAAAAAAAAAGAGAATCCTGAACGATTATACATCGCGATCCAAACTATATGTTTATCCAAAGTAATTAACTCTTTCCTTTGGCGTTGAAAGCATACGATACCGCTAAAAGAGAGAATATTTCGTGTCGTCTTCGACGAAGTTTTAACTAAACAACGCAAAAACAAAACATGCTTTTGTTGTGTCTGTGGCAGATAACAAGGCGTATGTACGTGTGTATATGTGTATGTATAGGCGTACGTACCGGAGGAGGCCGAGGGAGGTTTGCAAAACGCCGGCGAAGAAAGTGGCGGTGAAAGCTAGGTGAAGGTAAAGCCGAGGATCCACGGCGGCGTTGACTTCTTTCCCCAACATCGCAGCGGTCAACAGCGACGCCACCGCCACCGTCCCCACCGCCACATCTCTCGAACTCCCCATCACTGCATACACCAATGGCGGCACGAAACTCGAGTCTGCACACACACATGTATATATAATCGTCACAAAAAGTTTAAAACTTTTGAACTGTAAATCATCGAAAGGAGGTTTATATATACATACAAAGGCCGAGAATGGGGGGCAAGTTGGCGAGCTTGGCGTAGCTGATGCCTTGAGGGATGGCGAGGCTTGCAATGGTGATTCCTGCGATGGCGTCGGATTTCAGGAACTCCCAACTGTAACTGGAAGCCCATTCGAGTATCGGGAAAACGTATCGCAGCCCTAATACCAACTTTCTGGAAGGTTTCTCGTTCTTGAACTGCCGGAATGGATCGTCGGGGAAGAGAATCTCCATTAGGGTTTTCTTCAGAGATCTCAAGAACGGTTGTGGGGGCGGGATTTCCACCCTTTGACTCGTTCTTGTACTGCACATCGCCTCGCGCGCGCGATTCCTCTTCGATTCTTTTTCTTTAAAGGAATCGCTACTGAGAAAGGGAGATAAATGAGAAGAGACGTAAACCCTAATCGAAATTCTTAAGTGTGGAAACAATGGAATAAGTAGAGAGGAGGATGGGGATGAAGAGAGAGTATAGCGGATGCTTTATATAGATGGAGAAGTGAGACCGATGAACATGCCACTACGTATAGGAATAAAACTAGTGGGGCCATTAATATGCATTGGAAAAAATATAAAATTAATAAACCTACTTTAATTTAATTATTTGAAATACGTTAATGCATGTCTACCAACCTGCTCATCCAATTTTTTTTTTTAAAAAAATTGAATATACTGATCATCGGATTCGGATAATACAATATAGCCTTAAATTCAACATTTCGGATAGTTAATTCGAATATAATTATATAGTAAATGATTTAAACTTAGACTCTGACGTCGTTTTCTTAAGTTAATTGCAATTGTTTACACTAATCTTAATTAAATCAAATAATAGTAAGAGGGAAATAGAAAAATAGATTCGTGAATTCTTATTTATTTAGTTATTGTTGAAATAATGGATGAATGATGAGGGGAACAGTGCAACAACGAGACTTCCCATTCTATCGGTAGAAAAAAGAGAGAGTCCAAGTTCGTAGGTTTTTGTCCGGATGCATTTGGAGCATTGGGGGTTTGGGAACATTCTCTCACCAAACGGCTCTAACTTTGACGGTTTATGCACCAACACCCCCCCCCTCCCCCTCGTCGGCTCTCGTGTCATGTCTGCTCTTTACCATTTTCTACTAGATGAATCACTCTGCAAGAAAACGGTGGAGATCTACAGTTATTTATCCTATTTTTTCGTGGGTATTGAAATAAACCGCCCGTGACAGCTTGTAAATATTTTATATGGCCAATTGGCTTTTATATGATAAAGGTGGTTGTACGTACAGTTTGATCATACCGGCTATGTGACGGGGTATTTCTCTTCTTCTTCTTCTTCTTCTTCTTGATAAAGAAAGTCTTTCGCTTTTGCCAGTTTCCTACTGCAGACCAAGATTTGATTTCTTGATTAACTGGTCATATTTCAAAGGGGAAAAAAAAACAAGAACCTTCCAAATTGTCTCATGTTTTGCATGTGAGCTCGTATGTCCTTTAATGTTCAATCACAGGGCAAGTTGAAGATAATTAAATTACATGAATATTCGATCATGATAACGAGTTTAAGCGACTTAATGAAGAGCAGTGGCTCTCTTTCTTGTCCTAATCAAGAGGAAAAAGCCGCATTCCTCGTGACATGCATGGCTTGAGGACAAGATTTCAGAGAGGTCTCCGTTTTAATTTTAGCTTTGGTTTTTGTCCTTCATCTCTGGTCTGCGTCGGATGCACAAATGTCTTTCCTGTCTTATTTTGGCATTTGTTTATCCACCGCCACATGAGCAAGTTGACCCTCTCTGGCTTTACGCTGTTTAATTAATTCTATGGTCAGGATGCAATCAGAATCACACTTACACATCCAACCACACGAGCATATAACCGCGCGATCAAATCATGACCTGATACATGCGTCTATGCAGAGATTTACAATGTTGGACAAATGCGTTTTTGGTCTTGTTAGCATATTCTCTCAAATGTTGCCGCCACCAATACCATGATCGCAGCCCAGAAGCAGAGAGTGCACCCTTCTTCAACTGTCGGAGGCTCTGAAGAGAGTGAGCAGAGACAGGAAGAGGTTGATGATGTCTAGGTAGAGAGAAATCGCAGCCCAAATGTACTCATCGTACGAGTAACGCTTGATCAGATTGTCCGTGTCGTATATTATGTATCCGCTGAATATTATCGACCCCAAGCATCCGTATATCATCACCCCTATCCTACCCAATGGGAACAGAACCTGCACCCACCAAAATGCAGAAACTCACTCGTATAGTTTTAAAAGGTCCATACGCATACCGTGTACGAAGGCCGGATCTGTAGGAAGAAACGGTGGCAATTACCTGTACAAGGGCAAAGACGATAAGCACGATGACGGAAGCGAACAAGAAAGGGCCGAGAAAATTGAAATCGTATCCTTTCTTGGAAGCCCAGAAGGTGTAAAAGGTGAGGGCAAGCACCACGGCCGTTGTCAGGATAACTGACTCCAGAATGATTTTCCCTGTTGCAATCGCAAGTTTCTAGACTCGTTACATACCAAAGTGAATGTCTACTTGTTGCTCTTTGTTGCTTTCTTCCATGTCGGTGTTAACTTGAAAGACAAGTATGTGCAGATTTATAATCGTGTTGGAGGTTCATTTGAAGGCAAGAAACGAATATATGCTGAAGCAAGGAAATCCCCCCGCAAAGAATCGGTTTTCTTTCTCTCTGCTATACTTTCATGCGATGAAAAATTGGGAATCTATCCTTCTGATTTTGAAGCTAATCACCAAAAAATAATGAAATTCGAACACTAAGATTAGATGAGCAGATGGAAATCGGATCGATTACAGAGACTTACCACTTGTGAAGGCACAAGTCAATCCGACGGCAAAAGCAAGAGCCAAAGTGAAAATCCCCAGTAGAAAGTAATTCACCGGATGCTTCTGATGGTAATAGTACAACGGACACATCACTGCCAAAACAGAGAAGAAACCAATTCGGCTTGAAAATTGATTTCAACGTTTAGACGATTTCGATTCCGAAAGAATTATGAAGAATGTTCACGAACCTATGAAGGGCGTGATGATGAGGACTATGTAGAGCGCCAAGCCGGCTCCGGTGGTGGCGAAGAACAAGGCGATCGGACGTACGGAAACCACCGTGGCCGCGACGGCGATCGTCGCCAGCAGCTGGAACGCGATGATCGAATACACCTTTCGGATGAATCCCCACCGGAACTCGGGGCTCTCCAGCATCGTCGGATACAGAGGCCTCGCTACACCGAACTCCACGTCATTTTTCCGGTAGGGAAGGTTCCACTGATACATCTCCGTGAGCGCGGGAAAAATACGGTTTCGGATTCAGAGAAAGCAACGGGTTGAAAAACGCGGGAGAGAGACAGAGGAAACTACGGAGGAAGAAAGTTCGAATCAGCGATTGCGATTCTTCGTTGCGGGAGAAATGCCGTGTTTGGATTCCGAGAAACGGCGAGAAAATATATAAAGCGGTTACGACGGGGAGTGATGAGAAAGTTCGTGAATGAGGTGCAGGATACGGTGACACGTGGCAATGATCGGAGACGCATCACACGTGGCAAGGACGGTCTTGAAATTTCTAGATTCGCACAGGGGAATGTGCTTTTTAGAAGTGCGGTATGAACATGTTCCCGGGTTTTCTGGATTTATGTAGTTGAACCGGTCGGTTTACCTATACCGGATTAAATTATTTTGTTAACTCCTTTGAGTGTACTATCTCGCACCTATCTATATGAATTGCTTATTGACTCCATGCAATACGAATAACGAATTTTCTCTTTCAGATTTGATTTCTTGATTAA